GAGCCTACAGACAGTGACAAATAACCTGTTAAAGTGTGGAAGGCAGTGCCCATAGCCCCAGTAAGGGAGGGCCACTACCACAAAGAGGTACCCAGGACTCAGTGGCAGCCCCACCACTTGGGTGTAGGGTATGACAGGCCTAGTAAGCTGATACCTGAAGCCAAGAAAACATCACTTGAGTTCAACAGGGTAATAGCCGGAAACAACCACTGCTAAGACTAGGAAAACGAGGAGGCCCAGTGGCAGTTGGTGGAAGAGGAGTGGTGGAGGGACAGGAAGAGATGGAGGGGCTTTACCAAGCAGACACGGCCTCAGGCTGGAAACAGCAAAGGATGATGATGATGATGAGGGAACCCAAAGATACATTATTGTGTTCATGGACCCTATCCTGAACTGGTTGAATTCATTTTTCTTTCTCACACACTATAGATTAATTGTAACACTATTCTATCCATGCTGAAGGTGTCCTCAAAGATTTGAAACTAAATTTAGTATGCATTTTTCATCACTCCTATGTGTGCTTCTTCTCTTTTGCTTATAAGAGACTGATTGCTGTAATTCTTCTCTCAAAATAAAGATAGAAACAGTTGTTGGCCATATTATTGTTCCTTAACCTTCTAAACCACATTCCTCTTTTGTTTATTCTTTGATAAAACTGTTTTACCCTTTTAGTACTGCACAAAAATGTTACACTTCATATAGGCTGTTCAATACAACTTTCACAGTATGGAAAATTATAATTTTATATGTTTTATTTAGGTGTGAAACTTGGTCTCTCACATTAAGTGAAGCACAGGTTGAGGGATACTCAGAATATTTGGACCTCAGAGAGATAAAATGACAGGAATCTGAAGAAAACTGCATAATGAACAGCCCCATCATTTGCACATTTCTCAAAATATTACAAGGATGATAAAATCCACGAGGGTGAGATGTGCAGAGTATGTAGCATGCATGGAAAGGTACAAAAAGTTTTTGTTGTGAAGCCTGTAAGGATGCGACCATTTGGAAAGCAGTCTCCGATGTAAGGATGGTATTATATAAATTTGAGGGTAACAGGGCAGGAAGGTATGGATTGAATTACTGGAGATTGGATTGCGAGGCAACAGATCCTGAAAACTCGGAGTTTGAAAGGATTTAAGAGGGTGCTCAACAAAAATAAGATTTAATAAGTAAGTTGCAGATAATGTGATATAGACGTGTTTACATTTTTCTGCGCATACCACGTTATATTAGCTATGTTGTTTTCTTCTTCATCAAGAATCGTTGTATACAGATCGATGTACGAATATCTCCAACCTCTGCTATCTATCTACAATCTTTCCCTTTTCTGCCAGTCCTTTTCTCTGTGCTTGGTTTACTATTTTATGATATATCGATTGAAATTACAGTAAAAATAAACGTGTAGATTGTTGGTTAAATGTAATCATGCACAAGTAAATTAATATAATGTTTTTGAAATTCTGTGATTAAATGTCTGCGCAGTATATATTCTAGTGTATGGAATGGAGCCATTCAATGTTTTTTTGTGCATTTCTATTAGTTTGAAGTAATGATACGGAGTTTTGAAATGGACTACAACGTTGTTGTACGAGGTGGGTAAGCATGCGGATAAGCAGTCGTTTATTTCATTTGAGGTTTTCGACGTACTGTATACTAATGAACCTTATTTTCTTGATTACGTTTTCAGATGTTTATAGTCAAGGCCTGCTCACTCCATTGAATGAAGCTGACCTCAAAGTATAATCCTATTGCTACCAAATTTGAAGCAGTTTTGTGACGAGAATATAAAGCTAATGTGCAATGTGTACGTGAGTTGTTGGTGTTTGTGTGTGTGGTATATAATTCTTGCATTCTTTGCGGAGTGCATAAAATTAATACTAATGCCAGGATGCCTGTTTGCCCCCTCACGTCTTTCATCCTCAAAAGTACTTAATATCGTTCAATGTAATTTGGTTTTGTGGAAACACAGTCTGGCATAGGTATGGAATCAGGATCTGTATGTGTTTTAAAACATCTATAAAACACTGTATTTTACAGCAGTTGTTGAAAGAGGTGTCTTAACAATATTCAGAAATTGTCTATTGCTGTAAGTTATTCTGTGATTTCTGTAGTAATGTCTTGGGCACAGACATTTGGCATTATGGCCAGTTCTTACTAGTGATTATTCACAGTCTGTGGTGCACTGTTCTGGGAATACACTTCTTTTTCCTGCACCAGAGATTATTCCTCCATGTGTGTAGCCCTATCCTTTGCAATGAGGTGCTATGTACATTACTCTGTTAAACTTTGTGTGATAATGTGTTTAATAGTACTTGCTTATATCTGGAATACTTAGCAAGCAAGCAAGCAGTTATAAACTGTTTTTATGAAGATGGCTGTCTTCTGGTTTGTAGCACCATGTAGTCTGGGAGAAGTTTACCAATGTTTCAGAAGTCCTTGCTGCCTCCATCATCAGCGTGATTGGTTAGCTTATGTAGAATGAATGTGTGTTCTAGCATTGCCATTGAAAGAACAGCTGTCCAGTGAGGATTTAGTAATTCAAAAAATGGGTAAAGAGGATCCCATTGTGCCACCAGAAACTATAATTCTCCCAACTATCAAAGAGGAGTATATAGTGAGTATTTTGATTCAAGTTCTAAGCTTAATTTATATTAATATATACTCTGTTTTTTTAGTGCATTCTTTGCCTGCATTCATTAGAGTACATGTTGGTTTATCAGCCTGCATGTGTTATCTCAGTCTACTGCATTGATTTAAATAAATTTGATATTTGCCATCTACACTAAAAGTTGTCATGCAGAAGTCATAACCTGTAATTTGTGTGGAAGTCAAATGTGTATTTTATTAAGAGCTGCAACTTTTATTTTAAATGTATTTTGTTATGATGAACATTTAATGAAGTACAGTGAAAAAAACAATTTCCAAGTATGTGCTGTGTGATGTCTGTTGTGCTGTTTAGTTTCATAATGATATGCAGTAATCAAACATGAAGACCAATGCAGTATATGGAATAGGAAACAGTGCATTTAGAAAATATGTGTGTTCTGTTGTAGTACATGCTTCCACAGTCTTTTATAAATAAATAAAAGTTTATTAGAATTAGAATTTATTTACATACCATGTATCCTTCATAGTACAAGCCAAGGTTGTGGAATGTGTCCCATTTCATTTGCTGCTGTAAAACTTCCGCAGTTGAAATAGAATATATTAGTCAGAAATTGCAGTTATTTTTATGTTGCTCACATAAATACTTCTTATTTCCATATATTTATAATGGTTTTTCTTTGTCTGTGATTCTTATTGTTTTTCTCATCATGCTGCCTTTACTAAGAAGACAATTTTCTCATAATGTCATTATGAAAGTAGTTCAGGTTTGCACTGAGTTACTTAAAGATATAAATCTGTCAGCCATAGTCTGATCATTATGTGCTGTCAGCAAGTGTTTGTATTTTTAAACAAAGGAAAACGTGAAGGAAGAGGAATTCGAAGATGATCCATACATTGAACAGGAACCAGAAGTGATAGTGAAGGTGGAGGCAGAGGATAATGTTGCGATTGGAGAGCATGGATTGCCTGTGAAGCAAGAATATCTACAGGAGCACACCAGGTAACAAGCATATCCCTGCAGTCCCTTTGGTATACATTATACTCCAGTTCATGGGATCCAGATGTTCTGTATACTGTATGAGCATATAAAAGGGTGGAGTGATTAGTTTGTTGGATGTTCAGGAGCTAACAAAACACATATAATCAGACAAAATGTCATGGATGAGTAGATAGTAGTCCTTTGGAGGTCTGAAATGTTTGTTTTTACATCTACAGGAAGGTATATGTAAGTGTTTTTTTGTTTTTGTTTTGCCTTTTTGTAGTGAAGTTTTCAGTATAGAAGATCTGTTGTATTTGGTATTAATTCTTTCTTATAATGAACTTAATTTTCTATGAAGTCACAAGTTCAGACTGCTTGATAGAGTAAGGAAATTTGATTTTACATGAAGTGTTTAGCTTATTCTGTACCTTAAAAATAATCCAACTTCTTTGCTGTCATTGTGTTGTTTCCTTGCAGTGACAATGGAGAATCTACTCAGGTTCCGCTTCTTCCAACAAACAGTTTGACTAATAATATTCACACCATGCCAGTATATCATTGTGAGATATGCAGAATTGGGTTCACTGAGTCTAAAATATTCAATAAACACTGGCGCAGTGAACACAAGGAAACTAAGATTATACGCAGATTTAATTGTGCATTCTGTGGCAAGAATTTTGGTGAGGCGCACAAACTGCGTAAACATCAGCGTGTACACACGGGAGAGAAACCATTCACCTGTGACATTTGTCACAAGCACTTTGCACAAAATGAAAATCTTCAGGTGAGCAAAGAATGAACTGTTTTATGATAATTTAACCAGAATATCATGTGTTATATTCTCTTTTTGCATTTTATAAAGCTTTATTTGGTTATTGGAGGTTCTTTCCCAGAGGGTAAAGTGTGTGGTGCATGAAGCTGACCACTAACCTCCATTTAGTGTTAAGATCAAGAAAGGGTGTAGCTATATAATGAATTCCTCTCGGGCTACCAGCCATGTGAAGCTATACCTGCACACTTCATATGTACTAAAGATTACTATACCTTGCTGTCATTGTATTTATATGTTATTCTAGTGTAGTTTATGATTTGTGTTTGAGGTTCATATGCGTGGCCACAGAGGGGAGAAACCTTACACCTGTGAATATTGTTCACGAAGTTTCACAACAAGGTCAGCCCTAGTGACACATTTTCGCTCTCACTCCGGCGAGAGACCGTACCGGTGTAACGAGTGTGGGAAAGCTTTTTCAACAAGCAGCTACCTTCTTGTGCATCGTCGATCTCATTCTGATGAGAAACCTTTCCAGTGTGAGCAGTGTGACAAGACATTTAAGACACGCCAATTACGGAAGAAGCATCAGGTGTCTCATTCTTCTGATCGGAAGTTTGAATGTGCTGGCTGCAAAAAGTCTTTTAAACAGAAGAAGTCATATAAGATCCATTCAATGATAGGTTGCCGTACTGATAAGGAGTTTAGGTAGGTTAATATGTTCATTATTCGTAGTCTGTACTAAGATGTATTACTTGTTTGTTCTTGTATTCTGCTGGGCCCTTTCACCATGTGGAAAACACAAAGTTTTTCAAATATTTTTTTATTGTTGCTCAACACGTTGGTTACTTGTTCATGTATATGAGTGGGAAGGTCATATCTGTCCACATATTTCATATTCAAAACTAGTTAACAGAATGTGTGATCTGAAGCTTTCATGATGACAGACGTTAATAAAATAATCTTGGGTTATCAGCTATGTTAGTCGTTAAAAACTTTATGTTTCAGGGACCAGCAGACAAGTAGATATGACATATATTAGCTTGGACAAGAAATGCTGGTGTAATTTTGAGTTTACAGTTACAGAAAATTAGGTCTGAGGATGTAAAAATTATAGCTGATAGATGTATTGATTTTATTTACATCCACAGATGATGCAGTGAAGTCTTACAGACAATCAGCTGTATAAGTGTGGATTATTTCAGAGTCTTTCTCTGCCTCCATCATTGTGATTGCCAGAGAAGACTTCATTCCTTCAAGTCTTACTTAATTTAGAAACAACAATGCATTGAATCTTTTTACTGCAGATGCAGCTACTGTGGGAAACAGTCTTCTGACAGAAGTGGCCTGATCCGACATCTGAGACTTCACACAGGGGAGAAGCCGTATGGATGTGATGCGTGTGGTGCACGGTATTCTGACTCGACCGCTCTGAAGAGTCATAAGCGGTCTCATACAACAGAGAAACCTTATCATTGTGAGGACTGTGATCTATATTTCAAGTCTCCTAATAACTTGAGTAGGCACAGGAAGAACATGCACACAGAAAAGGTGCTCCAGTATGGGTGTGATGTATGTAATGCACGGTTTTCTGACTTAGGTACTCTGAAGAGCCATAAAAGGACCCACTCAACAGAGAAGCCTTATCATTGTGAGGACTGTGATCAATACTTCAAGTCTCCTAACAATCTGAATAGACACAGGAAGAACATCCACACAAAAGAGTTGATCTGAAGTGATAGCAGTGCAAATAATGATATATTTCTTAAAGACAATACACTGTATTTTTTTTGCTATAAATTACCATTTATTTCTTCTGTATTCCAGTGGAAAAAGGAAAAAGAATGTCATTTTCCAGATAAAATTAAAAATAATTAAGAAATCTTTTTAAGATGTGTCCCTCTTGCTTCCACATGACCTCCCATGATCAAGTATGTCATGTTATCTATTAACTTTGTTTTCACCAGCAGTAAGCACAGTTATTGTAAACATTTGAAAGAATATGATCCTTAAAATTAGTGTATACAGAACCCTTTAAAATTGACATATTGTATTGTACCTTGAATAAGTCCACAAACAGGATTGCTGCACATCTACAGACTAAGTGACATCTGCCAACTGTGGTATATCTTGCAACTCTCATATCACAGTATGTCAGTATGAGCCGGTTATTGTGATATTTCATTTTGAACATCTATCATCTCTTATTTAAGTTGCAGCAATCTTAAAAATGAATAATTATAAGATGCATTACATTTCAGAGTGACTGGTTCTGTCTTTGATTTCAGCAAAGAATTAAAGACGGTACCTACTCTGTAGGGCCTGTTAGCGCTGCCAGTAATATTCATCATTGTGCATCAGATTGGCTGTATCTAATAGGCATTGCAGAGTACATACCTTGTTTCTTATCCTGAAACACAGTGAATTTTAGGCATTGTAATTTTTAAAATTGGTGTAATTTAAATAATAGATAATGGGTAATGTCCAAATAGAACACTGTATGAAAATAATACTAATACACCATCTTTACAGAACTTGTAGATGTGAGATTTGAGGTTCTTTTGATAGTGAAGAGGTCAGTGTTGGTTTTTGTTTTGTCATGTTAAATTGTAGGTAGACACCAGTGTTTTGGAGAAACATAGTCTACACCAGCCTATAAAATGGAGACAGTATGGTTCTACAAAATGTTCGTATCTGTGGATATCTGCAGAGTGTCATGACTTTACAACCCAAAAGACCAACAGTCGACATGGGCTAGATACTTTGTTCATAAGAGTATGCTGTATCAATTTGCAAATTCTTATTAGTAGTAGTACTGGGGATACTGGGTTCTTCAAGTGCCTGAGCATTGCAGGTCCCAACTTTTCATTGGCCTGATCTATAGACATTTGGTAAGATTCCTTGGACGAGAGATATTAGTAGTAGTATTAGCAAGTAATAACTGTAGTAGTAGTGGTGGTAGTAATAGTTATTGGTGATGGTTGTGATGGTAGTAGCATAAACTTTAAAATTGAATCCTTTATAACCCTGTGATGCTAAGAGCAACAAGTGCTTTTAGAACTTGGAATTGTGTGGCATTTTGTTTATTGGTTGTAAAATTAGTTTTAATTTTGTAAATTATACATTGTAAATGAAATTGACAGTGACGTTAGTTACAACTCTTGACTGCTGTGCATAAGGGCAATGGTGGAAGCAGGAGGAAAACTAATCTTTGTTAAAAATAAATGTTTTTTTAGCTTCTTATGGTTTGTTTAAAGAATTAATCTGAAATGTGTTATACTTATTGTTCCATCTGATTTTTGTTTCTATAGTGAAACTGATTGCCATTAATGTTGTTTTGTATGTTATTTAGTTAATTTAGTTGTAAGCAATTTGTGTTATATTGTGAGCTGCCAATGACTGTGGTTGAGATTTTAGGTTCTCATCCAGTATGAAGGTGACTGACTGTCTTCTGAGGTGTTGCACCATCTAGTCTGCTAGAAGCTTACTGACATTTTAGGTGTGCTTACTGCCTCCATTATTGCCCTGGTGAAGGAGGCAGCAAGCACCTCTGAAACATTTTTAAAATTCTACCAGACTACATAGTACAACATCCCAGAAGACAGTCTTCTTCTTAACTAAGGTTCTTCATGCCTATTTTTAATATTATATCTGTTATAATTTCTTTACCCAAAATTTTGGTTTTCTCTCAACATTTTTAAACAAGTTTACATCTTCAGATGGGTTTCTATAAAATTTAAGTGTTTAACTTAATTAACCCAGTGTGGTGTCAAGAATCAGTAGTTTGTGTTGAATTTTCTTGTGTCTTAAATTCAATGACAATACAGTACACTAAAAATCCATTATAAGAGTTCATAATATAACAAGAATAATCAGTGTATGTACCGTTGGGTGGCATTAAAAGGGTATGTTTCATTTATACATTTTCTTGTTTACTGTTTCAGACAGTGTTATAAGTTGATTCTAAATGGTTCTGGCAGTGGTGTATTACAATCTGCATTACTGAGTTTTTGGACTATTTCTGTTCGGTATTCCAAAAAACCCACAACATTTTTGAAAACTGGATCTGTTTTCATTCTCAGGTGTCTGGAAGTGGGGCATCTATTCAGTTGCATCCATTGGAAAGAGCTAACATCCAGATTTTGAAATGTGGGATTTTTAAAATACCAGATGAATAAAGTCAAAAAAGTGTATTATCAAAATCTGTTGGGCTCAAAGGTAAAAATTAATTTATGCCTGCAAGTACATTAATGTAGGCCTTCAAATGAATGTAAATAAACTAATGATGATTCTCGTGCCATATATCATGTTTCATCAAACTGTGTCAGAGGGCTGGAAACACTTTTATTTAGGGTTATTAGTGAAATAAGTTTAAGATGAGTTAAATGGAATAAAACTTGCATATAGTGTTATTTGCATAATACAAGTTATGGATTTTCATATAATTTTGTCAGTGGGGTCAAAATATATACTTATCATGCTTGCAGCAAGTGGTTTCAAAACTTGAAATTGGCTGTAATTAGATATAAATATATGTGGTATTTTGTTTAATGGTTGTAAAATCAGTTTGAGATGAATTAAAGCTAATGAATGTAATATTTGGGATTTTTACAGTGGCAGAAATTTGGGTTTTGGGCTTCAGGGGTATAATATCATGTAATCCTGCAAGTGGTTAGAAATGTTTTTGAGGATCTAATCATGTCTGCCCTCAAGGTAAACCCTCCATATCATTGAATGCACCAGCAAGGTTTCTCTCACAATGTCTGTGTTAACAGGCAGTATTTTGTGAGAAGTCATTAAACATTTTGTAATTGATGTTAATCTCAACCAAGAGATTTGGCAATATCTGAATGGTTGTGACATTTTTATATTAGGTTAAGTAAGTAAAATGTCAATCGTCTTAAGCCGCCAAGTTATCGATATTTTGCCAGGAATAGTTGAGAGCAATTTATCGAAACATTCGATTTAGTTCGGCTTTTTATCACCACAGCGCAGTTATCCATGAGCTGAATTCAGTATACCCAAATAATTCTGTGTAGGTACTTGAATCAATGCGTAGTATAGTTTTTAAACGCGGTGTTAATATGGCAGATTTTATTGGGAACCCAAAGTTATGGAGATTATAATGCTAGAAGTTCGTGAAAGGAGTTAAATTGGTTGGTTTTGTTGTTTACTTTTAATGTTTTGGAAAATAACTGAGAAAATTCCACTTGGAAGTAAAACACGTTACATGATAATTGCTCAGGGGTCTTGTGTTGGTTGGGTAAGGGGGCGTGGAAGTAAGTATTACTAGAATTAGAAGAAGTGTTTTTGGAATGAAATGTGCCTTTCCGTAGCTGACAGATGTAACAGTTGTGAGTCAAGAGTGGCATAGAATGCAATATAGGTGAGTTCTATATACATTTTCAGTTGCATATTTCCAATTAGTTCCGCATTTTTCCCATTTTGAAGTGTCGTTCCACATATGCAAGTCGGCAGTGTTAGACAGACAAATAAATTAATTAGCATACACACTGAGTTTGTTTTATTCTTTATTTTATAACATCCGTTGCTTGTGGATTGAGCTAAGACATTTGTAATCTGTTACTGGTTCTTACGATGATTTAGATGAGTACCATGCTCATAAGTAACATACTTATTTGTTATCCAAAGTTCAGTAGATCAATTATCTACTCCTGCATCATATTCAGGAGGTCCTTGGCTAGGATGGTAGCTATCCTGACAGACTCTTTATGGTATTATTCTCTCAAAGCAGATGCTGAGATAGTTCTCTAAAATATGCCATAGCCACTTCTTTCCATATCCTAACAAACACACATAAATATATATAATACTCCTAGTATTTTATGCCATCACCTGAGAGAGTGTCATTAAATCAGTTAAGAAGACAGTGTTCTGTAGAGTGCTAATTTAAGTAGGTAATTGGTATGTTTGGAATTGTGTGTTGTTTTAAATATATTAAATAATTATGTAAATATATTATGAAATGAATTAAATCAATGAATTCACTACTTGTTTGTGTCTAGAATGATTCTTATATATTATTAGTAACATGAACCATAGACTTCTGTAAATGTTCATTTTGAAATAGAAGTAATTGTAGAGATCCATGTTTTATAATGTGAGACTTTGGTAAATACTGCTGGTTGTGAAGCACATGGATGTCTTATCCAAGAAGTAATGCCAACGATCACATTTCTGACCATGAGTGGGGAACCATTGTCACCCTGAAACAAACAGTATCATGTATTGTGAAGCTAATGTCCTCTTCCAGATTCAACATTTCAGAATAATTTTCAGTTTTGTGTGTATTATGATACCAATCAGACATGTCATTGAATTTTACAGTTAACCATGTTTTCTGTTAAAAATTCTAGGCTTTTTTCTTACATCACATATTCCTTCCAAAGTATCAGGATTTCCTGCACAGATTGTACTGTTTGTTGGCCCTCCTCCATAGATTTTTTCACAGTCTTCATGACTATAGATCTTCAGGTTGTCAACCTTCCTTAAAGTTTCACTCCAGCCACAGAAGCCCTACAGAGAAGTTATGTTACAACCATTAAATAATTTAATGGGAAAGCCTAATTTAAAAAATCAAAGACATTTATTTCAAATACATCTGAACATCTGAATTGCTTAGTTCTCATAGTGGCATTTTTCAAGCATGATGGCTAAAACTTTTTGAAGCACATTATCACATGCATATTTCTTCCTGATGGGTGATGATTAATACCCAGTGTTTGTTGATCTTCTTATTATATTTTATGTTGTGTGTGGATGCCATGGCATTGTGGGTAATCCTATCTTCATATTTTTAATAGCTTCTAGTCAGTAATTCAATGAAAATTTATGAGGTTGGAGTGACACTAGTATCATTTAGTGCAAAATCAAAATTCTGTATGGTAAAGAACCATAAAGGTATCCAACTTTTTGAATTACATTTATTTTTTGTAGAAGGTGAAATAAGAGTTGAGCATGTTATTGTTTCATAGCACTAACAAATGAATCATTGGAGCAACAAATGTGAAACATGGTACTGAGATAGATAATAAGCATACCTATAATGTTTATAGGAAACATTAGTTCATACTTGAAAATATTTTAGTTCTATTTAACAACTTTGATGAAAGGGAGATGTATACCAGTAGACATTATGCACAGAACATGTCACTAAATTACGTAATTATTAATTTATAGTTCCTACTAGCCTGTATGCATGGAAGAAAGTATTTAAAGAAAAGTATGTCATAATTTCTTTTCAGTTCCATCACTTGTTTTTGAATATCTAAATTTTTTACCACTTTGAAGTATTTGGGAAAGGTGGGGGATAATCATTATTAATACAGTATTACTGAAGTAGCTACTTTTGAAGCATTTCAAGGTATTACTGTGGTTTAAACTGTAAAATTTCATTAATGTATCTCTACTAATTACTTAGTTTAATACTTTATTGCAATTAATGAAGTAGTACATAGTAAATTAAATTCCTTTATCTCTATTTTATGAACACAAACGTGTTTAAGTCACCTGGCAGTATGAGTGCATTTTGAATTTAAATAGAGCAGTAAAGAGTTAAACAAATTGGGGGACACTATTCAAGAATTTCAAAACTTTTTCTTCTTCTTTTGTTTTCTGGGGTATTATTTTATGACATCATATAAACATGTCATTTAATTCTGCAACCATTATAAAACAAGATCTGTTTAAGATGCATGACAGTTTGATGTATATGGTTACATGTGATTGAATGAATTATTCTAAAGAATGTGATACTTACACAGTTGGCCCCCCAACCAAATGCAGAGCCAGTCTCATCACTGTAGTCTGCATCTTCAGTTGTAGGAAGGACAACTTCATGTATGCCTTCAATTATTGGTTCCACCTGTTAAAATTTGCAACTTGTAATTTTTTAAATATTTTTTACCTTTCTCATATATTTTCTCTTGATGTAAATATATTACATATAACTTCATGTCATATTCTCTCTTATTTCTGTTTATGGTATTAATATTACATTGCACTATATACCTCATGATATGGCAATAAACTTTACGATTGTAACGCTGGATTAGAACACAGTAAGTGATGTGTATCCTGACTGAACGTTTGTATTTAGTGCATAATTGCTTCCATTCTGATAACTATCATACCTTCACCAAAGCAATGTTATTGTCCCAGTATTTACTATCATTGTATTCTTTATGATTAATCCATTCTGTAATAGTATGGTTTCTGTCTTGTCCGCTGTTGTCCTTCCCTGATATCACAATGAAATCTTTTGCTGTACCTCTGTGAAAACAAAAACAAAATATTATCTTCATGTGTTCCATTTGCGTCTTTAACCCAGTCTAGATACATTTATTAGTTACAGTCATAAAGTTAATGTTATGACTACTAATTTATAAAATTGTATGAAACTACTTCTTGAGAAAATTATGCATTATTTGTGGGGGTGAAACAAGTGGACAGATATTATAAAAATTAATTTGCTGCACTTTGTTTTTCAGAATTACAAAAAAATAAAATTGGGAAAAATACATGAGTAAACACAGTACTGTATGGTATGTATAGAAAGTATAATCATACCCAGGATTGCAGTTTGCAGCTGTAAGAACCCAGTGGCTATTGATACATGTACCAGTACATTGTGCTTTGGTGTCATGGTTTAGTAGAAACACCTGCAATAAAGAATGTAGAGGAAGTAGTGTGTGCTGGCTCTCCAATAGGGCTCAACATATATCTCTTAACACATTTTATTTATGTCCTTATGACTTATAAGACTAGGTGGTGTCACAACCCAGTAAACCATGATTGATATCTTCATTGCTGTGGGTACCTCATGTTCCAGATAATGTCTGAGATTATATATATGAAATTTACTGTTGATTGTTTGTGAGCTTGATATTGTTTGACACCTGATATATGTAGCAAGAGAGGATCTATACCATACTGTATTACATAAAGCGTAAAAATATGAAATAACACACCACATTTGGTTCTTCTGCTGTGGCTTCTTCCCCACCTACAATTCTTGTATATACTTTTACATCTATGTGTGACCCTGTAACATTATAAGAAATATTTCAGTGATGAATCCAAATTTTGTAGCCAAAGGATATTTAAAATGAATACTAGAGCAGACTGGACTATAAGGACACAAAACCTGCCATTTTGTTGCTGTACCATATGAATAGCGTAACAGATTTTTTGTGGTTAAAGATCATGAATATACTTCCAAATTTTGTTTGAAATGATGATAAAATCCATGTTTTAACTAAAAGTGTATGAAGGTGGTAGAGGACATGTGTTTGTCAACACAGTACTGGCAATAATACACCTTCATCTTCATTAGTTCTTTCAATAATCAAATACAGGCTTGTAATGCTATGTTCTTCCTTGTCTGTTCTCATTGTGTATACTGAATTTGAATGCTTTGTATGTCCATTATTATTGTATACAGTATATCTGACAATTACAGTTTCATAATTGTGTGTCCTGTTGTAAGAGATACGAAATTTTAGCAATAATTCCACTCTGATCTATGTATTTTTATTAGGATACTTTGATCTCAAAATTTGGGCCTACAAAACTCATAGGTTGATCCACTTATAATGATGAATGTTTGCTATTAAACTATAATTAAAGTAATGATTACATATTTATCCATTCATCTAAAATGTTCAGTTTGTTTTAAAAATTTGCAAATATTAAATGATTTACTGTAATTGTGGAGGAGGAGAAGTGAGAGAATTAATTTGAGGAGTGTTATTATTGAACTCCAGGTGCTTCTCCAAAACTACTATTTTAGTGTTCTTTGTACATAATGCATTAAATGAATGCAAAATAATTTTCTAAAAGATGCTTGTGATAAAAAATTCTTGTACAAAATTAAAACAAAATCCTGTTTGCATATGTTATCATTAAAGCCATTATATAAAAATCAATTGGCTGGGCAAGTCCACAGCATGTTCTGTGAATAATACATCCATATAAAGTAAGTATGGAGCCAGAGTAGCTCAGTGACAAACTACTGATTGGATAATTGGGGTTTGATTTCCAGCAAGGGCAAGGGATTTTCCTTCTAGCCTCCAGACTCTGGGACCCAGTGTCCTTCCTATCCAATGGATACTGGAATCCTTCCTTGGGTGTAGAGCACAGCAGGGGTGTGATGCTGATCACTGACCCCTATATAGTGCCAAGATCAATGAGTAGCTGTTGTACCTTCTCTCCCCTAAGGGCCTTTGACGTATATGCAGGGGAAGACTTTACTTTACTTTTTACAAATTTTGTATACCGTGACCCTATGAATTTACAGAATAAAGATAATATAGAAGATCAAGCAAGACTCTGGAAGAGTGATTTTGAGATCAGTACAAAGATTAAGTTCCCTAATCTATAAAGACGAGTAGACAAATAAAAGCTAGACGTACCAAGACACCCAAGTATGAGAGCAGCAAGAGCTGGAACAGTGAACTTCATGATGCTCTAGACTGATGCATGCACACACACAAACAAGCAGAGACACCGATTGAAAGATTTATAATGAGAACCTACAGCCATATGCCTAGCAACGGTAATTCTGCCTGGCAGGGGTAGTAGAAATCACATTCACCAATCTCGTATCAGATAATTTTGTTTGCTTAAGTGATAGCAGATTTTCTATAATATGAGCTCCAAAAATTATTCCATATTCTGTGACAGTGTACGTAAAGAAACAGTTTCTATAATTTTTAGGATCCTTTTACAAACACAAGTAGGTCCAAACTTACTTAAATTGGTTGTTTATGTGAGTAGCCCCTTTGCCATGCCTGATTGGATTGGGGAGAGTGTTCCTGTGTCCACTCATCCCATCCTATTCTTTGTATAAATAAAAGAGGAGTAGTTACTGGAGGATAGAGGGGAAGATAATTCTATCATGTTAGAAATGTCAGTGGACTGCAGACAGACTGGGAAACTTATTATTTTTTACCCTATTATGAAATGTGTCTATAAATCTTATGCTATATCCATTTGCACAGCAGTACTGAGATTCTGTGATGAAGTAAAAGTGTAATCGATTTTTATGTGAGCAGCTGTGTTTGGTGTTTTAATATTATGAATCAGATCTCTCCATGTTATCTTATCTAGTATATTGAAAGTTTGCATTGCTTGATGGGCTGTATTGTCTGAGCTCTTCACAGGTTTTATAAACTAACTCTTTAAATATTTGTGTAAAGATAAGTAGGAGTCTTTTTAAACATTTTATTTCAAAGCCCCATTGCATTGGAACATAATTTTTGTGTTAAAATTGACAGTGCAGTTCGAGCTGTTAATTATGTAGTGTCAAATAATACGTGAGGAAAATATTGGATAATAAATAATCATAGAAAGAAAGAAATAGTTTTATATTCTGTATTTTAAAATATAATTCAATATATTTGTGGTGGGTTTGAGGATAAATTTGTTTTATTTTTCTGTTAATACATGCATTCTGCCAACAGAAGAACTCTGTGATTTTATGTGCATTTCTATTTTACACAAATTTATCTGGAAATGTAGAAGCTTTTTCCTTTTTGAGGTGTGGTACTGTGAGAAGCAGTATTGTATTTTTCAACATAAATTCATAATAAGCATTCAGACATGTTTGATTTGTTACATATCTTTTTGTCTCATGCATCTCAAGTTATCTGACATTATAATTCAAACACAGTACACACATAACGTAAAATGAAACTGGACATCCCAACTGGTGCATCTCTTGTGCATAATCTGAGAGGTTAAGTTGCATAGCACTGAACGGCAACTTAATGCTTGTACTGACCTCAGAATCCTCTACTCTTTGTCTGCATAGTCTTCACACTGTAGAGTTGTAATTTCTATTATATTCATACCACGTTTCATAAGACTCCTTATTTGGTTGAGAAAAGTTAAGGAAGACACATAGATGGATGGATACAGACATGATGACATCTTGTCTTGATCTTTCCTTCTGGTAAAAGGATGTTGTTGTTTTTTTTTTTTTTGGGGGGGGGAGGTTAAATATCTGCCAAAAGAAAATAATGCATCTGGCAAAACTTATAATACCCATCTTTTGACTCCAGTTCTCTCTCCTGCCACCTACCAGTTAGATGCACAATAAATACAAATAGTATTACCTATAACTAACTAACTCAGTGGAGCAGAATCCTTGTTGAGAAGCTAATAGTTTCACAGCTAGTAAATAAATCCTGCTTTTTATGCAGCCTGAAGGTTCATTACTGTTTTCACAAAAACCCTCTGCCAGCCCTGATCTGGAGCCATATTATTCCCCCATATGTTTGTCTTGTTGTTCTGAGAAAACACGTTGAGTATTTAAATAAAAAAATTTCATTTATATACATTGTTTTAAGTTTATTACATTGTAATATTTTTGTTTAAGACTGTTCCCAGCACGAAAGTTAATTTATTACACTGTTCTTATAGAGAGAGCTGGTAGAAAATTATGGTATGGCTGTGCACATAAATATGAATTGTTTATCATATTCAGCCTGTTTGGCTTTGTGTATTTAAGTTTCCAGTGGCATAACTGTTTAATCTATGTATAACATGGACACAGTTTCAACCATTAAATTTATGTGTGTTCTGTATCGTAAATCGGGCTAGTGGATGAGGCAAAACGCTGTACTGAAGGTCGGCCAATTGCTTGAGACTTATGGATCATGGCAAAAGTTATGCATATGCCAGTGGTTGACTTGTCTTACAGATTACACTCCTGTCTTTTCTGCAATCCAGTCACGATAGTGGGAAACCTTGGTCCACACTGCAGGATACTCTGCACAGGGCACCCGGGTCCATGAGGTTATGCCAACTTGGATGCCGTCAACAAGGAGAGCACCGCCAGAGTCACCCTGAAAATTTTGTAAGCAATTTTGGATATCTGGTTTGTTTCTTTGGTGTGTGAGGTCTCTCAGGAGGCTGTATGTAATCAAGTTTATAGCCACTGCAAGCTCTGAGTAAAGAATCTTTTGAGTTATGAGGTGGACTTCATCATCCATTACCGATGAACTAATGTATTTACACACAGTGTATAAAAGCATTTATTATGAATTTTAAGATTGATATTCAATTTTTTTTGTTATATGTAACAAGATGCAGTATCTACTGAGAATGTTGTAATTTTAAGTAATTTTAAACAACATTATTTTAAGTTTGTGTATAGACGGAAAATAAAATAAAATATTGTATTCAATTATTTTGTAATTCACTGGTCCAATAAGTAACAAGAAGGCTTTTAAAATGTTATAGGAAGAACCACTTTTTTGAAAGGAACAGTGTACCAGCTGCAAATGTTTAAGCTAATGATTTAAAACCTGAAAAGTTTCTGCTTAAATTATATATTTATTATATTATATTCACAGATATGAAAAATTTTGCATAGTTTAGGGAATTTTATCAACATTTTCAAGAATGCAAGGTACTTTTCCTCCATATCTGCTTGATACTTTAGTAATGTGGTGTACAATGCATAGATACTTTGTACATTTTCCTTATACTTGCAGGACTCATAGCATCTGCAGTATGATATATTACATTTACAGCATTTATTGTTCTAACTGAGAAATCTCATTTCAGTATGAAAATTAATTTAAATTCCATATTGCCATTATTAAATAAATTACATATTATTATGGGAACCTATTCAAAATAGCAGTTTTATAATTTCTAACATATTTTTAACAGAGAGTTGACTCTGTTGAAAGTATCTTCTGAATACAAGTAGAGATATTAGTTTTGTGCTATCTGTCTCTCACTTTGTAACAGTCATGATACTTACACTGCAAACACCCTTCTCTTCCTCTGGAATACCTGAGCAGACCATGTCAGTCGTAGGTCCGAACCCATAGATATCTAGACAATCTTCGTGTGAATAGATCTTCAAGTTAACTTTCTGCAGGTTAGGAATTCCTGCACAGCCATACTGTATAAAAGTTAATAGCCATTTAAACATAGGACTTTCAACATTAAAACATTTAATTTTAGTTGGTGCTGGAATTTCAAATATTTTACACAAAGTAATTGAGATGAATACTTCAGAGCAAATGAAAACACAGAAATTGTTATGTAAAGTGAGCAACTCACACATCCAGATCCCCAGCCAATAGCCACGCTTGCAGCTCCACCTTTAGGTTCATCACCAGGAGGAGGAAGTGTGGTTAGCTTTATGTTGTCACCCAATATGATATCTGGTCTCACCTATTAAACATAATTATGTATATATTCAAAACATCATAACTGCTTTTAGTTATACCATATATTGTATTTAGGGAATGAAACACCTACCTTGACAACAGCAATATCATCATTCCAGTAAGCTTCATTCACGTAGTTCTCGTGATAAGCCCACTCAATAACTCTGTGGACAGTGCCTCCTGTGTAATAAGTGTTGGTTCCTGCTCGAACACTGTAGTCATCAATGCTGTTACTGTAAACAAAGTTTCAGCATTCTGCTTTGCATATTAATGGTATACCACAATATAAACAAATCCTTACAAGAATATGTTTAAATCATTATAACATGTCACCAAACACTAGTGGAAAGATTTTCTCCACTTTGGAGTTCACATTTCTTCCACATCTTCCCAGTAGCTCTGTATGCTCATTTATTATTCTAGACCCAGTCACTACTGGAGATAATATGGTGTGCATAGTTTTAAATTGTCTTGGTGACAGAGATAGTATTTTCTGTTATAAGAGTATTACACTGCAAAAGGCATAAACTATTTTTACAAGTATTTTGTTAAGTATAAACCCTACTGGAAAGGGGCCTGTGAAATGTGTTTTTCATTCTTTGTATGAGGAGCCACTTTTGAGAATTTTTTTTGTGTGATTTAATGTTGTAACTAGGCACAGAGAATCTTGTATAGAGATAGATCATAAATACACCTCCAGATCTGTACGAAACATTTCATTGATGTCTAAACCTTTGCAGACATGGAGATGGTGTGAAAGTGTGAGTAGTATCAGGCAAATTTAACAAAATGAGACTTTGTAGTGGTGGAAATTATGCACATAAGTTAGTAACTTATATAATTTTATTGAGTGTGTGTGTGTCTGATATTTATGGCTCTTGTTTGCCTCATCATATAGATTGAAGCATATGAAGGAAAGTAAGCATTATTAAATTGTTCTCATAATTTTTCCTTTTGATATTCATTATCAACAGTTATTGGTGTTTTCATCAGGGCAAGTCTTTTTTTATGCTAAAGTCTTTTCAGTTTTTCTCTTGGTTCCCATATGCTCTCCATTTGTATCTTGTGCTTTGTGTCCACTGTTCCCCTTATACTGTTTTATGTGCGTACCCAAAGATGCAGTGAGCAGCTGTGAGGACGTACTCAGGAGATAAAACTGTAGCACCACAGTAATGACTGCCGCCATACTGCAGTGACACCTGGAAATGAGATAAGTGTTTTGTAATGATTAAGTCCTGCACCATTAATGGTTGGAACTGTTTCATCAACTAATGTGTGCTTAGACATCATTTCTTACCATATCTGTATACTAATTACTCAACTTCATATATATTTATCTAGAACTTGTTGTTCTCATGATGGTGAAGATGTCAGTTATCTCTAGATAACAAACCCATTTTGCTTTGTATGGGAGCATTTCTTAGCTAAACTATATGTGTGATATTCTTATGTATCTTTAATCAAATATTCATAACCAGAAACTAATCATCGCCCTGCTGATGGAGGCAGCAGACACAATTGAAATTGTGGCAAACATCTGCCAGACTAATGGCGCAGCAACCCAGTCATCTTCATACTTTCCGCCACGAGAACCTTAAAGTAATAATATGACTGAACTTATCACAGCATTGTCTGTAATTCTTGTTGCAACAAAATTGCCATTTATCTTGTGAAGTGAACATGCAAAGTGTTATGAATTTGTTTCTTGATTAAATTGGTTCTGATACTTGCTTGAAATGGGAACTCTCCTTCTTCAGCATTCTCACCATTCACAATTTTTACATTTCTGGCCACATCTACGAGGACTCCCTGTATATTACTGAATGCCCCTGCAACAAGATGAGGTTCATATAGGAGCTACATTGTTAGTTGTGAAGCCATTATATTGTCACTGAATAAATTGTTCTCATATGTTCTGTACACAGGATTTCACAAAATTAAAACTCTGTGAGGACCTCGCTCTGCCCATCTGCCTGTAAATTTCACCTCGGAAACTGGCCAATTGATGTGATCAAATTTGGTATTAAGGTGTTTACACTTGAAATTGTCTGGCTTAATTTCGATCTTTACTTGTCCAGTATAGGGTTGCTTGCAGGGAGGAGACCACTCAGAAGACCTAGGCATAGATATGAGGATAATATTAAAATGAATGGTACGGAAGTAGGATTGGAAGGTATGGATTCATCAAGCTCAGGATAGAGACCATGGTGGGCTCTTGTAAACATGATATTAAATATTTTGTTGCATGAAAGATAGGGAGTTGCTTGACTAGCTGAGAGAACTGATAAGTTCTCAAGAAGGACTCTGTTCTGTAGAGTTAGGTATTTGTTCAGTATGACCCATACTTGGGTGAAGCTCAATTCAAATTTAATCAATTTTCATGTAAATGGTCCATAATACAAAATTAAATATATGCCTTTTCAGTCTAGTTTTTATTGGTTAAATATTCAGACTTACCATGGCACCCAAGCACCAGCATGGAAAAAACTGCAAGAAGGAACTTCATATTTCTGATCTGATAAACAGACACTAACAGACTTTTATATATATATATAATCTGTACAAGATAAGATCTTGCTTAGAATCAAGTACTTGAAATCAAGTTGTTAATCATTTTCAGGACAATGAGAGATGACCCATGTTCAAATGATAATTATTTTACTTGAAATGATAAAGTATAATTGTGCCAAAATATTGAAGTTATATGTATTTTGAACTTAGCATTATGTAAAGTGCCTTGGGGTTGTCAGTAAAGTTTCTATCCATAAATTTGTTCCATCAGTAAAATTTAAATTGTGAAAGGAAGTGTTGTGCTTGTTTAATGTTCATTTTATCATTGTTTTGGTCAAATATATACTTTTATATTTTGTAAACCATCAAATAAAATTACAAAGACAAGTTGTTTTTGATGCCTGTACCTGCCTCAAATTTTTCTTTCCAGCATCTGATTGATCTTGCTCTAAAACTACATGTCTGGTGGTGAAATGAATCATTCAAGTTCTGAAGCATGAAGTACTGGTTAGGTGACAGATACAAAGTTTACATGGGAAAAACCAGACTGCTTTTGTTATATTTTCAGCTACTCAATTAAAAGGAATATAACAACTCGCAACTTGATTTCAGTACTGATAAGCGAAATCACATCACAATTGTATCACATTTTCATCATTCTTGAAGACAGAAAGTGGGCTGATAGATATTGAAATGGGGACAAGTGTTGCCATGATGAGATAATCTAATCAGGGTTTACTATCTACATCTGATGCATCCATATCTAATGCTCTCAAAAGAAACATGTTTTGTCCACATGTGATACATGTCCATACCCCCTAACCATAATGTTACATATTTTTGTTGTAGTGAGTGCAAAGGATAGGAGAAAGCTGTGAGTTATTTATTAATTGGAAGTAGGTGAGCTGCTGCTGAAGAGGTCAAGGTTCAGACTGAGTTGCAGTGGCAGTAGAAAGATGAGGGTGTTACATAAACATTGAGGCAACTAATATGCAAACTTGTTAATAGAATTAAATGAAATGAAATAACTGTGAAAGAGGCTTTGTGTTTAAGTTACAAAAAGCAAGACATTCTTTATGAACCATATGCTGGAGTATTGCAGGACTATATTATCAGTTTCCATCATTTATTTGTAATGAAACAGAATATGTAGAATAGGTAATATAGTCACAATACAAGTGTAACTCTGGAAGTTAGTATTTTGAATCCAAGTGTGGATGCCAGGGTTCATTGCTAGGACATACCTTATGGGATTTACAAGGAATAAAATGAAAGTAGTTAGGTTTATCCGCAAGTACCGTGGCCTTTTTATTGTTTCATCCCATTGTTCTTCCAACTTCAGTTTGTGTTACACATCTGAACCAGCATTACCCATTACATACAGTTCAAGCAAATAAATGTTGAGCCTGCTTTTGTAATAATTTATATTAGAGAGGAGATTTAATATTGCAATTTTTTTATCATTTGTAATATCGTAAATATGAAATATTTTCGTTAGCTAATATTTCCAATCACGATAGTTAGCATGTGGGGGGGGGGGGATCATGGATTTCCCGATCTGCGGTTTATGCTTAGTAGTACATTTAATCTGGATTGCTGTTTATTATTAGATCAGTTAGTAATTAATGGCACCCAGCCGATAAAAGTTGCTGCCAAATATCTCCAATAAACTTTTGTGCATAGGCATATGACCTTTTACACTTCAATTTGAGTAACGTAGTTCCCAGTATTCAGTGCGCGTAGGACACGTGGGTTCATTACTCAGACGTACTCATCCAAGGGCGGATTACGTTGCTATAAGCGTTCAGTTACAACATTGAACTTGAAGGTAGGATTATGTTTTATCTGAAAGAAACTTATTTGTCATGTAATACAATATTGTAAACGTAATTCTACAAAACTAATAAAATTCATATACCAAAGATGGCGCTTGTTTGGGTCATTTTTACTAGCTCATAATACTACGTAGTTGAGACTTTAAAGTTGCTTCGATTAAACAGGAACTACCACGAAGTTTTTAAAGTTCGGTTTAGTGTTGTACATATGTGTTGATCCAATGAAATAATATCTATATAATGAATTATTCTTGGCTACCAGTCGTGTCGGGTGGTTTAATGAAGACAATGCAAATGTTCATAGAACCATCTTATCATCCAGTTGATATAACATAATGCAAAACTTATTCCCTATTTTCTCTTATATTGGCCCCAATGCAAACTTAATGTAAGTGAATTACACGCATACAGTGTAACTTTAAATCTGAGTTTGTTGGATAAATTAAATTAGTAAAAATAGAAAATTATTTTACAGTGTAACTAATGTAAAAACATTGTGGAAGCAAAAGAGGAATAAGATGTACCAACCTCATTGTAGTCACCCACTTTCATATCTTTTCAGGATCTGAGTACTCTTTTGGAGGTGGGTGATGCTGGTGCCATGGATCCAGACGAGGCAGCTGAACTTGAGAAGAAATGAAGCCATTTGATTCCAGAACAGGGAAAGTAAGTTTTGCCTGACTTTATTAACACTGACATTGTTTTCAGAACACAATGAAAATATGTTTGTAGTAGATGTTAGTGTTGTACATCTTCCTACATATTTGTGTGCTTGTGTCATTTCATGACTGCTGCCAGCACATCCTGATATTTTATTTTTCCATGACAACAATAAAAGTAAAATTTAGATTATAATAGGTATAAAATGCTATTACTGTACACACGTGCACTCTGTCTAGTTAAGCACGTTGAGGTTGGTCCTTATACTGGAATGATTGAGGCCAAGTGCTGTCAGTAAATATTGCGGAAATTATTTGACAGAATTCAACTTTTAACTTCCTTTGTCACAATTCAAACTACAATAGGCATTCACAAATGTACTGTTACGTCAGGTACGTGGGGTCTCACTTGGACAGGATGCATTTTTTTAAAACTTTGTACTTACTGAAAAGAAAATTGTTGAAATAGGGGCAAAGATAAAACATTCTCCATGGCATTTACTGAGATGTCTCATAATGCTCTTTCATACCAGTAATTAATGATTTATCAGGCACACAATCATTTACAGTAGGCATCAAGGGCTGATGTTCACAGGCCTTGTAGCAACCAACCGTATCACTCCTGCTGCCTTCCCCCTCACAGACACTTGCCAAATGCCAAGCTCCCAGATTTGTGCCAGTAGCCATGTACAGGAGACGCCAATTTCAAAATCTTCAACAGCAAAAGTAACGAGACTGCCAAAATATAAGCGATACAAGTGTAAATTTTCTTACATTCTAAGGTTGGTGCCTTTATTGTTGCTCTTGCAGAGCAATTCTAGGCTCATGTGTGGATTGATTTATTGCTGAGCTCAGAGGTGGGCAGTTCACTGGGTGGCAGTCACTGTAGTTCCTTCATAAAAAAACTTCCCTTGGGATTTGAAATCAGTTGATTCCAAGTAAAAGTTAATTAGCGTAATTATTTGAGACTGATCATTATATACTACAGTCCTTACCATATCTGCACATCTCCATCTTACATTTTTGAACTGCTGTTATCTATTTCAATATCTCTGTTGATCCTAATCTTGTTTTCCCCATTTACTTTTCAGGGCGAACAGGAGTGCAGTTGGGAAATACAACAACAAATAGGACGAGTTTCGTGGCGTCAAAATAGCAGTTCTGTTGGCTATGCAGGTGAGAGTGGAGAGAGAGGCTGGACGGAGAAATAAAACTTCAGCATTTGCATTTCACAGCAATTCCTCATAGCAGTTGCAGAACATTTCCCAAGAATGGAATAAGTCACATTGTTAACAGTTGCTTGTCAAGTTAAAAAAAGATTTAATTTCTCTGCACTTAAAAGTATGTTATTAAAACGATATAAGAATCACATTAGGGAATTGCCATTTGAATAAAATTAAATACAAATTAACCAGTTGAAAGAGCATGTCATTCCCTCCCAAGTAGGCTTAAATCAGGTCTTGCAACTTTCATGGAACCAAAGATTTGGTAATTTTGAAGTAGACTGTCATGCAGATTTTTTGGTGAATTACATTATTACAAAAAACAGGTGAACTTGTTTGGTTCTGTAACAGTTTATTAAGTACAATGGAATCTGATACACATTTGTCTGCAGGCCCTAGGATCACTGGTTCGTCTGTAAGCAGTGGACATGCTCTTTGCCATCTGGAGACAGGAGATTTGTGTCAGCTGTGCACTTTTGTACTGCTGCTGAGGATCTTACCAAGGTAACTAGACTTCTAATGTCATATCTACGAGGTCTGTCCAAAAAGTATCCGACCTTGGGCCAGGAAAACAAAGTTCTGTATCTGGGGGGTTACAATACCTAATCCCCTTCAAAGTAGGCCCCTTATGACTCCACACACTTAGCCCAGCAGTCCTTCCATCGCTGGAAGCAATTCTGGAAGGCTTGTTTTGGAATGGTGTGCAGCTGTGCTGTCGTGTTCTGTATGATGTCCTCACGGCGGTCAAAACAGGAGCCTTTTAGCAGTGTCTTCATTCTCGGGAACAGCCAGAAATCACAAGGAGCCATGTCAGGAGAGTAGGGAGCCTGGCGAACCTGCAGAATGCCGTGCTTGGCCAGGAAACCCTGGCTCAGGTGTGATGAATGAGCTGGGGCGTTGTCATGATTCAGCTGCCTGTTGCGTGCGTCCCACAGCTCCGGTCTCTTGCACCGAACTGCATCTCACAAAGATGACGGGAGGACTTCTTGGTAGTACTCTTGATTGACTGTTTGGCCTAGTGGTGTGTACTAATGATGCATAACACCCCGGTAATCGAAAAAAACAGTCAGTATCCCCTTCACATTGCTCCGAACCTGTCGTGTTTCTTTGGGCCTCAGGGATGTTGGATGCTTCCATTGTGACGACTGGATCTTGGTTTCCGGGTCATATCTGTACACCCACGACTCGTCACCAGTGATCACAGTCTTCAGGAACTTAGGATCCCTATTGGTGCACTCCAGCATGTCCTGCACGACCTCAAGGCGGAGTTGTTGCTGCTCCGGCGAAAGCAGCTTGGGCACAAATTTTGCCACCACTCTTTGCATGCCCAAATCCTCAGTTAAAATCGTGTTTGCGGAACCTCTGCTGATCCCAACCTCATCAGCAATTTCCCGGACGGTCCTCCATGACCATTGTCCGCACTTTGTCAATGACATCAGCATTTCGGTTCGATGATGGTCTCCCGGAACGCTGGTCGCTGTCCGCCGACATGCGGCCATCTGTAAAGCGGTTGAACCACTCTTTAATTTGAGTGACCCCCATTGCATCACTACGCTCAGTTTCCCCACCCTTTCACCATTACTTACCGCGGAAAAAAATAAGGTCGGATGCTTTTTGGACAGACCTCGTAAAAGCTCTTTAATGTCAGGTAAGGTTATGATTTTTTTGTGGGCTACAAGCCTCAGGATCTACGTATTAATTGCTAAAAAAAGAATCCAGTGTGCCACCATTGAAGTACATAATAAACTCTTTTAATATCTATAAGCAGTGACAAGATGTGCACAATTATGTCATACAAAATAGCATTCAGATGTAAAACAACAAATGAGCTATACATTGACTTCCTGTTTCTGATTTGGCTTCTTCTGTGTCTTTGTTTTGGACCACTCATCAACAGCTTTTGCAGGATAAAATTGTGTCTTTTCCTTTCATTATCTCAGCATTTTGATCCAAAATAGGCCAATGGGAAAGGAGAGACATACATCTCACAAGTGCATGCCAAGTAAATTTCCTTCGGCCCTTTGTCTTTGAATGTTCCCTTCTATGTCTGTTAGGGCTGGCCTATTGAGGAGAAGACTTCTGCCACTAATTTGTACCAAATATTTATAGTCGTCCTTTGTAGTGCAAGAGTACAGAAATCTGCTCTCTCCCGTCTCCCAGCTGTTGACACATTCTCATAGTTGCTGTATCTGCTAACACATTTAAACTGCAAGAAATAAAAACATTTCAGTTATGGTTCATGAATGTGCACATCAGTTTGTCAAGTCTGCATTTTCTGTTTGCCACAAAAAGCAAACCTTGATCCATCTGTCATTTATTCCATGGAGCTAGGTCCTTGAGAAGCCAACAATAGTCGGTCACTCGGCAATCTAAAAATTCTCAACATTTCACAGAACCCAAAGGTTTATTACCGTGTAGGATTTGACATTTTTATGCTGGTGAGTCTGAAGATGACTCTCTTCTGGGTTGTTGGTAGAAGTGTACTAACGATTCAGAGGTCCTTGCTGCATCTGTCATCAGGGTGATGAGTAAGGCACACATTTGGAAGTCAATGAAGAGCCTTGGCACAACCAGTGCTGACTGGAGTCAGAAATGTGAGGGCCTGGGAACTAACAGGAGCAGGGCATGCCACACCTTGGCCAGCAGGAAGGAAAGACGCACGAGAGGGAGAGGTCTGAGAAAGCAGCACCAGCGCCACATCCGGCTGGACCAGCTGGATAAATCCGCTGTGGCCGAAACATCCCATACAGCATTGCCAGTCTTGCCCAGGCCAATAAGCCACTACCCTGCCCTTTTCAGGGCACATCACATCGACTCACCTCTCATATGTCAGTTGATCCTATGGCAGGAACCTGAGGAGCCCTTATGAGAGCCCCCAATGTCCCTCACCTTTCTTGTGGACAAGGTGTCACATGTCCCCAGCTCCTATTCGTTCCCAATCCCCACTGCCAGTCTCCTATAACTAAGTTTTTCCATTAC